CTTCCTTCCTTCCTTCCTTTCTTTCTTTCTTTCTTCCTTTATTTCTTCCTTTCTTTCTTTCTTTCTTTTCTTTCTGTTGTAGGCCTTGAACTTAGCTTGGGTGCTGTCCCTGAGCTCTTTTGCTCAAGGCTAGTCCTCTACTACTTTGAGCCATACAGACACTTCCAGTTTTTGAGTAGTTCATTGGAAATAAGAGTCTCTTGAGGACTTTTCTGCCTGGACTGGCTTCAAACTGTGATCTTCAGATCTCACTCTCCTGAGTAGCTAGGATTACAGGTGTGAGCCACCAGCACCCAGCAATTTCTAAATAAGAATCCTGAAGTTCCAGGTGGACATGGATGCAATTTCTTTTCTTTTCTTTTTTTTTTAATTTTTGCCAAACTCTGGGCCTAGGCGTTGTCCCTCAGCTCTTCAGCTCAAGACTAGCCCTCTGCCACTACAGCGCTACTTCTAGCTTTTTTTGCTTATGTGGTGCTGAGGAATCGAACCCAGGGCCTCATGCATGCAAGGCAAGCACTCTACCACTGAGCCACCTTCCCAGCCCCAAGGACGCAATTTCTAAAGAAGATTTAATCCTGAAGTTCCAGGTGGACATGCATTTGGGAAGGAGAGAAGACATTCCTCAACCCAGTACACTCTCTCCTTACTTTGTCAATAATCTGTATTACTCTTGGTAAATGACATTGTTGGCCAAGATGAGGTCAATTACTAAACCTTCAACTCTTGGACTAGCAATAGCCTAATTCTGTATATCCAACAAAAATGACAGGTGGGAGAAGGGGAGCGGGTAGTGCTGTAAAAAGGACATGATTCTAATCTGTGTCTTTAGAGCTCATGCTGCTGATAGGAATATGCTGCATGGTCTTAGAAAAGCCATTTCTTTGATCTCCAGTTTCTCCTTGTTGGACTAAATATTAGGAATGTCAAGGGAAGAGACATCAGGCCTCCACCTTTAAGACTGATTACCTTAATTTATCTTTGTGCATCATCGTTAACCCATAATAATTTTTAATTATTGAAGTTTATAAAAGTTTCATAAACTGAAACTTATATTCATTCCTAAAGCTCTTTTCTTAGCCTCAAAAGGCTTTTCTGCTAATCATTTGAAAAGATACTACCCTTCCCTTTCTGTTTTATCCTGTACCCATGCACTGACTCCCCTATTAGTCCACTTTGTCATTGCTGCATACACTTCAAGAATTTTCAGGCTTGTTTCTGTCCCTTATCCCCAACAGTGATCCATTGTCCCTTTTTTTAATATACTACCTCTTTCCCAATTCATTTCCAAAATAATATTATATTAAGATAATCTATGCTTAGATTTTTTTTGCTATTCCACACAGTGTAAACTTCCTCTGTCCTACATATTCCCTGATGATCTTTCACTATACAATACTGCTTTCCATGTTCTTTCTACTGTTATTAACACAATATGTAATTCAGGACAGAATATGGTCTTCCTGTCCTATTTGAATCTTGAGGGAAATAAACAGAAGGTCTTTCTTTGGCTTTCACCAAAGTAACATTCCTTTTGGTATCATTTTAAAATTAATATAGTTTCTCCACTGATGGAGAGTTTACCTGGAGCTCTAAGAATCCAGAGACTCAATGTTGGAGAGTGTAATTCCCCATGACTCATTAGAGAAGGTAAAGCCAGTGAGTGCTGCAGTTACAGCAACTGAGACTTGCTCTGTAGGAGAAAAGCCCCAAAGTTGGCTAAAAAAAAGTTGGGCATCAGAGCTTTGCCAAAGAACAGCTAGGAAAGAAAAGTGATAACTGTAGAGCAGTATTTCTCTGCCTTCCCCACTTTAATGTCCTCTGCTCACTCCTCTGATCCTTCTGTCATCTCCTCTCTTGCTCAAACCCTGTAGATTCATCTCCCACACAGAGATGTTGTACATGTTAGGCTGTTCTGTCTTGTTCCTCGAGTAGTTTCTCTCCCACTTCAAGAACAGTTGATGAGTCTTGTTCAATCATCTTTCTTTGTTTCTTCTTTCTGCCTTTGACAGACTATGAAGGAAGAGCCCCCAGCTCTGCCAGCTGGGAACCCACTAGTGACGCCGCAGAAGGGAAACACACTGGACCACAGCCTGCACAAAGATCTCTTAGGTGCTATCTCTGGCATTGGTAATGCTCCATCCTCTTACTGGCCTCTCTCTAGTGTCACTCAAAGTGACTTACAGTTAATTAATGTATTACACTTGCAAATTGGGACTTGGAAATCTTAACTTTCTGCCTTGAATATTCTTTTCTTGACTATGATGTTTCATGACTGAAATCCCTCTGCCATACAGTGTAATGAAGATTCTAGAATACATGTGAATCCTGACCACATTGCATTTAATTACTTGCTTGTACTGGTTGCTTTTTGTAAAATGCTTAAGTTGATTTGCTATCTATAATCTTAATTGGATTGTTCTGGTTTTAGAAAGGGAATATCTTTGCAGGTGTTGCGGTGGAGTGGTGGTAATTTACTTATAGTGTTGACGACTTAGATGAAATGTCAGTTTTGTTCACAGTTCTGAAGGAGGTAGCAGTTTGTAGCTAGGATTCAATCCTGAAATCACTTTTCAAATATCTTATAACCTACAATATTTTTTCTATATAAAACATTAAAGAACAGCCCCTGTGAGAAAGGAAACAGATGGCAAGTATCAAGATTCAAAATTCCTCCTTAAGAAAATGCCTGAAAAAAGTTCCTATTTATATTCTGATTAACTGAGCCACAGCTCAGAAATAAAGAAGTAGGGGCTAGGAAGGTGGCTCAGTGGTAGAGCGCTTGCCTTGCATGCATGAGGCCCTGGGTTCTATTCCTCAGCACCACATAAGCAAAAAGAAAAAAGCCGGAAGTGGCACTGTGGCTCAAGTGGTAGAGCGATAGCCTTGAGCTGAAGAGCTGAGGGACAGCACCCAGGCCCAGAGTTCTGGCCCCACGACCGGACCCCAAAAAAAAGAAAGTAGTAATAAATATGTATAGAAAGAATTATCTGTTTGCAGATATTTTCCCCCTCTTCTTGCCACATTTTGAATAAATTAAGCATCCTCTATTGCTGGTGGTTAGACTACCCATAAATAGTCTAAATTGATAGTACAGAAAAAAGTACATGCCCTTTTGTCCAGTTAATTTTCAGGACTATTGTATGTTCTTACCTTTTGTATTGTTATGTGCCATTTTTGTGGTGAAATGGAGTAGAATATAAAATTGGAAAGCCCACATAAATGCCTAAATTTGTCTTATACTACTAGTACCAATTTTTATCTTATTTATGTTAATGTATATTTTTCATATTTATACTCTTCTCATTTAGCATTTTAAAGACAAAAGGAGTTCACTCATAAAAATTGCTGGAAGCAGAGTCTAGAAAACAACAAACACAACAAACGCTGGCTGTTATTTTTCCATTTGCTTCTCTTCTGGGGCCTTTATTGTATCTGTTTCCTGTTGTGCCCACATGCCAAGCTGCTATTCTGCAAATGGGGAGGTGACCTTCTTTGAGGGATTTTGTTTACAATAATTCATGCTACTAGTTTAGGTCAGATAGTTGTAGTCTCCACCATTGACTAGTTACTGGGGCAAGTTGTCCTCCATCTTCTATACTTTCCATATCCACACCTCCAAAGCAGAATCATTGTCAGAAACAAAGAGCTAAAGCAATGTCTACAGTGCTTTACAGGGTATAAACACTCAGCATTATTATTTGAATGTCATTATAAGCATGATTCTGTTGTGTTATTCATGTTTTATGATATATTCTCAGGAGTCAACTAGACAAGTTTAGAAGCCTACTAATGTGTTGAAAATCTTGATAGTGTGCCCTCTGTGACCTCTCTTATAGGATCATAAGAGAGGCATTTGGGGCTTCATGGAAATGATTAAAGCACATGAAGGAATGTTTTGTTTCATTTGACTCTATCCAATTCAGAATTCACCTTATTAGGATTTGGGATTCTTTTGAAGCTTAAAAGTGAGTTACTAGATATCCTTAGCATGACCCAAATGGCAGAGATGGTCTTTAATTGCTTTGCATTCATGGAATAGTTAGGCCATGAGACTGATTTAGTCCCTTTCACTCCTTATTGAATATAAAAATCCAAGTCTACTTTGTAGAAATAGACTCATAACAGGCTATTTTTCTCCCATCTTGAATGCCTAAGTCCTTGTTATCTTTTAGGAGGATCTTCCAGGGAAACACTGCTTTTAAATTAGATTTGCTGGGTGTGTGTGTGTGTGTGTGTGTGTGTGTGTGTGTGTGTGTGTGTGTGTGTGTGTGTGTGTGTGTGTGTGTGTGTGTGTGTGTGTGTGTGTGTGTGTGTGTGTGTGTGTGTGTGTGTGTGTGTGTTAGAGATGGTTGTTGTTGCTGTTGTTTGTTTTTCTGGTAGCTATAGAAACTCTTTTCTTTTGTACATAGGGTGCTCAAGATAAGGATCTTAGCCTTCTGGAGAAAGCTTTTTCCCTGTGTCAGGGAATCTGATTTCACTAATTAAATTTGGAACATGATACAAGAAAATTTCTAAAACAGATTCATTGCCTGAATAAAAATGACTCTGAGGGTCATTCATTTTAAAATGCAAGCCTTTTTAGGTGCAGATTCATTTTTTCTACCTACTCAGTACATTGGGCTGTTAATACAAAGTAGAGAGGAATGGATGAAACCCTTACATGTTGTTTCAGATCTTTAAGGATATTAAATACTTAGAAACACACATATACCCAGGAACAAACTAAGCATGTTGGTTTGCTGCATTTGCATGTTTGCCTTAAATTGGGACTTTAATTTTAGAACCAAGCATGAAAAATCAAATTTTAACGACTAATTTTACTTTACAGAGGACCTCTTTCTCCTGAATTCTATGTTTTAACTATGAAATATAATTATAATTAAGTGATTATGTGTATTTCTTTTATCTAAGTGTAGAAAAAGGGTCATAATTTCTCAAAAGGGTTTTCACCTATTCTGTGACAGTCACACATTTTCTGTTCTGGGGATAGCAACCATGACTTACAGTAAGTGTCATGGGTCTTCCTTCTAAGAATAAAGACCACCTTGATGTTGCCTGAGAAATGGTGAGTTTATGCAAAAAATGGAGTGACTTACAAAAAATATTTTTGCTCAACTACTGGCTATATTCTGTTTATTTTTTTTATTTTGTCTTAGAACTTCTGTTTCAGTCCATGCCAACAAATATGCCTGCTGAAATCTAAAAGTAATGACAGGCTTACTGTGAGGTGCCAAAGATGGCATCTTTGGCTTGGGTCTATGAGGCTCTTCTTACAACTGCCAAGAATCTTCCCTACTCTGCCCTTTTCCAGGCCTTTCCATTAGAGGCATGGCTACCTCAACCCAGAACTGTACAAGTCTAAAAGAATCATTTTTAATTATATATTTTTATACCTTATCCAAGTAGGAAATTATTTTTTACCTAAAAAAAAAAACTCCATAGTATTAAGGTAGAAGCTGATTCCTGTTTTCAAACACTTATTTATTCATGAACATCACAAATTTAATTCCAAGTTAGATTTTCTTTTTCCTTTTATCTGCAGTAGAGATCCCCAAAATGTTTTGTTTATAAGAATAAAAATGGAGCTGGGTGCCAGTGTCTCAGACCCAGAATCCTAGTTGGAGCTGGGGCTGATGGTTCACGTCTGTAATCCTAGCTATTCAGGAAGCTGATATCCGAGGATCACAGTTAGAAGGCAGCCAGGCAGGAAAGTTCATAGAACTCTTACTTAACTACCAATAAAAGGAGGAGGAGGCGGAAGAGGAAGGGGAGGAGGAAGAGGAAAACGGAGCTCAAGTGGTAGAGCACTAGGTTTGATCAAAAAGCTCAGGAATATTACCCAGACCCTCAGTTCAAGCCCCCAGAACTCACAAATAAGCAAACAACAAAAAGATAAAATAAAAATGGACCAATTGTCACAGTTCATAGTGTCCAGGGCTAAAACCAGCAGTTATGTTTATTAGAACTTACTTATCTGTTAACAGTTTTGTTTGTTAATAAATAGCAGTACTCTTTATTTGGTACTTTAAACCAAATTAATAAGTACTTACATCCTAATAATTTAATGAACATGTGAAATATAATTTTAAAAATAGCTGTATTTATAATACACACAACATGTACTAGTGAGTTATATATACCTGGTAGATACAGTTTCTCATACTTAGGAATCTTGTCTGCCTCTATTCTCACTTCCTTGTCCAAATTGATTTTTATCCAATACTACTTATAGCAAGTACAGAACATCCAGCTTCACAAAGATACAACCAAATCAAAAAGAACATGTCCAGTGTTGAAACTGAGGTTTCCCTCTAAAGCCAAGTTATCACTGTTTTTCCTGAAATTTTAAAAAGTCCTGTAGAATTTTCTGGGGCTCCTACACATATAGTTTGCATTATATAACTTAATTTGATTATTGAATAGTTTTAGGTGATTTATCTTTTTTTTATGTCTCCATTCTATCCCATTCTGAAACAATGCCAATAAATGAATTGACATTTATTGTTAATGTTTCAGAATAAAGTTTGTTTTATCTCATTTTATATGACCTGATTCTTTACAGTGGACACATTTGAATACCATTCTTGAACCCACTTCCTAACAAATATTAATGTCATAAATGCAGTTTCCTTTATAGTTCAATGCTTACTTTTATTTTGTTGTCTTACCAAACCTTTGTTCTTATCTTGATTTCCATTTAGCTTCTCCATATACAACTTCAACTCCAAACATCAATAGTGTGAGAAATGCTGACTCAAGAGGATCACTCATTAGCACAGATTCGGGTAATAGCCTTCCAGAAAGGAATAGTGAGAAGAGCAATTCCTTAGACAAGGTAATTTCTTTTTCATTTAACACAGATGTTTATTAGATCTATTAGATTTAGTGCAAAGTAAATTTGCTTCATGTTTTAGTATCTGTTGAGTGAAACCTGCTTTGTTTTGTTCTTTTGAGGCAAGGTCTAGTTACATAGTCCGGACTAAACTCATCATTATGTAGCCCTGGCTAGCTTGGAACTTGCAGTCCTCCTGCCTCAGCCTCCTGAGGATTGAAGTTGTGCCACCCAACACTTGGCTTGATTTTTTGCTTTCATAAAATGATCAGTTAATCTGGGCATTGGTGGCTCACGCCTTTAATCCTAGCTACTCAGGAGGCTATCTGAGGATCATGATTCAAAGTTTCATGAGACTCTTATCACCAATTAATCACCAGAAAACTGAAAGTGGTACTGTGGCTCAGAGTGGTAGAAGGCTAGCAAAGTTGCTCAGGGATAGCACTCAGCCCCCATGACCACAAAAATAAAAAGATTCAGTTAATATGGATCACAGCTTTATGTAAGGTTGGGGTCCACTTCCTGAAACACTCTTCTTATTCTTGTGGTGCTGGACTTAAGACCTGCTAGACAAGCTCTGTACTGCAGAGCTGTGTCCTAGACCCTTGAAATACTCTGTTTTGTTTTGTTTTGAATCTTAAATCAAGACAACTTTTTAAATGGAATAGGCACCTTAAACAAATGATTCTTTCAGAGCTAGAGAATACTTTTTATAACCCAGCCATCCAATGAACTTGGCATATTAGGTCCAATACAAGGTCCAGAAAAGTTTAATTGATAATATCCATGATTTAGAAATAAGGTATGATTCAAAATCACTCAGTTTACCCTGTGTCCCACCTATAACACACTTCCTTGCTCATCTTTTACTTTAAAATTACTAAAGGCTCAGACTGTTTAGTACTTTATGAGACACAATAAGGCTTGGCAGTTAAAGCTGGAACCATGATAGATTTCTATTAGCTTAGGAACTGATTCCTAAGTTATTTCAAGTTTTAGGAAAGTGTCTCTACCAATATACAGCTGAACCACTTAAGGATTTATTCCTCACTGTCAGAAAAATGTCTGGAAAACATATTCCTTAGCATCAGGTTTGTGGCTGGCATTGATGTGATTATCTATGCACATGGTTGTGTCAAGGGGTGAACCTCTCTGTCTGGGTGTGTGTCATGATATGTTGAACTTTTCCCTTGACCCCAACATGCCTTCATGTGTAGAAGGAAAAGCTGCTAAGAAGGCACTCCGCTTGTGTCATACGCAGTGCTGGAGAGGAGGAGGAGAGCTGCCAGTCAGCCAGGAAACACCGGGTCACTGTGGATTTTTCCCTTCTAACCATTCCACCTTTGCCAGAGGAAACGTTGCATGCTGCACCTTCCCTTCCACCACCAGAAGTACTAAGCTTTCCTCGCAGCTCCCATCTACAGGGCAGGGAGACCCAACCAATCCAGTTTTGCCACTAATTACACCTATGTTTCCATTTTGAATAAAAATACAAAGTCTAAAGTCTATTAACTGAGTCTGCTTAATATATATATACATATGCATATATTTCCTCAATTGGACATTTTCATAATTGGCCTTGACATTTTTGCCTTGGCTTTTTTTTGGCATTTTGGTTTAAATCCATATTTCAACTAGAAATACAGCCTAGTTTTTACAATCTCCTCGGTTTTTAATCATGAGATGAGATTTTTAAGTCTGTTTTTTAAAATGTAAACCTGCTGTTTGGTGGTAAAACTGCCCTCCCTCTCAGCCCCAAGCTTTCTGATGTTTGTAGTGTTGAGCTAAGCTGATGATGGGAGTAACCTCATCAGTTTAGGGTCTTTGGCACTGTGCTGAGGTATCTGTATTTGTCCTGTTGGGCACCTGCTAAGTATTTTGTCCCAGCAGTGCTCAAAGATGGGCCCCAAAGTGTATCCTGAATGACAGCACCTGGGCTCTAGGCTTTTGTGGCTGGTACACAGCAGCAGTACTCAGGCTTTCTTGCTGTTGCAGGCCCTGGGTCTCTAGAGGGGAGGATGGCTGTGTGGTCTTCTGTATGTCCACTTCTATCTTTGTCCTAGCACACATACTTTTCTGCATGAGGTTTTACTTGGCATAACTAGAATGTATGAAAGGGCTGTGCCTCCTGACTTGTCCCTTAGAAAAGTGTGCACAGGAGACAAGCTAGAGCTCCAACGAGCATTGTGTGTATTATGTTTGGATGATGGTGTGCCTTTGTTTAATGGTGCCTGAAGTTTACTGTACTTTTCAATTTGTATGACTCAACTCAATTCTAAGAACTTTTCTCTTTTCCAAAGCAAAAAAAACTAATTGCATTTTTCTTAGTATTACGGACTAGAAAAATTATCTGTATTTCCTTTTTAGCACCATCAAAGTAACACTTTGGGAAATTCTGTAGTTCGCTGTGACAAACTGGACCAGTCTGAGATTAAGAGCCTACTGATGTGTTTCCTTTACATCTTAAAAAGCATGTCTGATGGTAGGTTAAAAAATTTTTTTTCTGGTTTGCTTTCCTTGTTTCAGTATTTGTTATTGAATTATATTCATTGCAAATGTAAGACTTTATATATATATATATATATATATATATATATATATATATATATGTATATGTTAATAAATACAGTAGGAATGAAAGTCTTTGGAACGAGTGGGTAAGAGGGAACAGCTGATGCTATGCAAAACAAAAGAAATGTACATATTATCCAATGTGGAAGAAATAACTGTATTGCAAAGCTCATAAAACTCATAAATCTATATAGACCATGATAGACAATTTGCCCCATGAAAGTTAGAATGTGTCTGACTTTAAGCATCACTATCCCACAATACTGTGAAATTTGGGAAAATATGTAATCACTTAATCACAATTTAAAAAAAAAGTCTTTGGAAAAGACTAGAAAATTAGTTCTAAAACTGGATAAGCTTCCTTTTTTTATTAATTTATATAAAATTTGAACCTTCAATCTTAATTAAAAGAGACAGAAAGCAGATAAATGAAGTGACTTTTGGTTTGTTTGTTTGTTTTCTTCTATTTTATCCAAACAAGCTTACTAGTAACTTATGTAACAATATTAGTCAGTCTCTCAAATCAGAAAACACTGTTCAGGAATCTAAGTATTTTTTCCACTTAAAAAATGAGTGTGACAAGCTGGGTGCCGTGGCTCACTCCTGTAATCCTAGTTACGCAGGAGGCTGAGATCTGAGCATCAGAGTTCAGAGCCAACCCGGGCAGGAAAGTCTGTGAGACTCTTATCTCCAATAAACCACTAGAAAACCAGAAGTGGTACTGTGGCTTAAGCAATAGAGTGCTCCCCTTGAGCTGAAGAGTGCAGGGACAGTGCCCAGGCCCAGAGTTCAAGCCCCATGACCGACAAAAAGAAAAAAAGAAAAAGAAAATGAGTGTGATATACTCCTGGCCTTAATTGAAGGGAGAGGTATTTATTTAGTTTTCTAATTGCAAAGTGGTATCACAATAGATTGTAGTTCTAATTAAGCATATACAAAGCCCTTTCTGATGAAATGAAGAGCTCTTAGATTTTAGTCTGTATCATATAAAGTTTATAACCATGATAGGAGTGTTTAAATTCTAGTAGTGTGGTATTGTCAACCCCATGAAATCATGTCATAATTCTTACCCTGGTCACAAATCTGATCTTATTTTCCCTACAACAAGTATAAAAGTATATAATAGACTTTCTTAAGGTCATTGAACTAAGATTAACTCTTGTGGAAACAAAATGCCAGTTTTTTGAGAACCTGAGAGGCCACTTGTACTATATGTATCTAGTGACAACAGATACAGGTGTTACACTTCCACTAAGATATGGTTCCTGCTGAAAATGTAGATGTTGTTATTATTATTACTTAATATTGAGCTCCCATTTCAGCAGCAGTAGCAGCCTGATTTCCTAAAACAGGTGGTAGAAATTACCAGTTTCTCCTTAATATATTTATGAGAGAATTGTATAGTTTTGTTGTCGATATGTTACTTTAAAATCACAATTTAAAGGTTAAAAAGAATAAAAAGAGGAGGAGGAGAAGACAGTAAGCCAGATTTTTTTTTTAGTGATAAAGTCAAATATATAAATCAAATATAGGGCATTCCTAGTTACTCAGGAGGCTGAGATCTGAGGATTGGGTTTCAAAGCAGCCCAGGCAGGAAAGTCCCTGCGACTCTTTTTTTTTTTTTTTAATTTTATTTTATTTTATTTGTGAACAAACTGTACAGAGGGGTTACAGTTGCATGGGCAGGATAATGCGTACATTTCTTACCAAGCATTGCAGCCTCCTCCTTTGTTTACCCTTCCCATCCCTTCCCAGCCTCCCCCCTCCCCCTC